AAGCCGTAATTGTGCAACGATTTCAATTAGGTATTTGCAACGAAGTGTTGAGCTGCTTGATGATTAAACAGTGCGGTGAGGTGATGCACTCGGCACTGTGTCAAAATCGATTCAATATGTCTCGAGTAGGTACCTATAGCTGTTTCATTGTAATGACAGCAATGAATGCTTTCCACATATTCAGCGCATCAAGTTATTGCAAGAGTGGTTTGAAGGCTTGTAATCCGCATGGTTATGCTTCATGACCGCCAGTAGCGTAAATGTTCGGCGTATGTGAATTTGGATATTTGGATGTATCGACTTCGTTGGCGTACTTGCATTGACGTGTTGATCAATGATTATCTCGTCAATCGGCGCTTTCCTTAGTGGAAAGCCAACTGATCGATATGAATATACGTAATTTAGTGTTATCGATGGCTTCATGAAAACCCACGAAATGATAAATGCTTTTACATTTGCATGCTAGTGTTTAAAACGATTAACACCTTGTGAAACCTCTTGTGTGATTGCCACGCTTCCAAGCATCTTAGCATCGACTAAATCCATAATTAAATCAGGCATCCATGTCCCCATTCAAAGACGAATGCCCCTGCAACAAGTCGTCATTCGGTCATCGAACTACCACATCGCCTGTTTGATTTACAGACCATTCATCAGTTGATTTGCACCTCACACAAAGCATCTAATGGTGGACCGATTGTTAGCGTCAACTGCTGACCTTACCAAATATCGGACGGCGGGGCATCGGGGCCGACCGTGACATGGTACGACGCCACTGCGCGTGCCTGAGCGGCGGCAAAGCGTCGCTACCGTCGAAAGCACGTGCCAACCATCGTCGGTTTCGACACAGGCCGGGTGTGGAGCGGGTGTGAGGGACAGGGTGGTGTGTGGCTGGTGTTGGTGTGTAGGAGGCGGCAAATAGCCTGAGGCATTTTGTCAGAGTGACACGGTTCGCAGGAGCATCAGTGGCCGAAAGTTCTATAGCAGAGGTCGGAGTGGTGGTTTTGTATACCTACTTCAGAGGCTATCTGTTTAGTGAAGTGTGGTTGAAAGCGGAGGATCGGCAGTGAATGACGGTACAACGAACTTTCGGATCAATTGAACAAGGATTGCGACAGAGGAAGCTGATGCTTAATGGATAGCGAGAGGTAAGTTCAAGGGACACACTTCAGCAAGGACAGTTCCCAACCGTTTAGGCTAATTGACAATGAATGCAAAGTTTAAAGTCCGTTAAGTACCCAATCGATCGTTGGAATACCGAAACGTACCAAATTCTAAGAACTTTGACTATTTGACACAACCGTACCTGCCTGTTTGTCACACCGCAGAACTTGGATGCATTGACACAGATGCATCTGAAAATCTACCTGGAGGTTCGTGGATAAAAAAAGCATACCAGGTATAATGACAGGAAACAGTTGGTAACCAAGCTGAAGGCCTCAGGTTAACCGGCGATCTGTGAGGTCAGATCAAAGATCCCAAGGCCGATGTCCAGTTTTGAAAAATAACTTTCTTAAAAATGGTCGCTGAGAAACTATCTTGGCACCATCTGTTTGTAACGTCCAGCCGTGTAGATACACTTTTCGCGTGCGGAATGACCAATTTGGGCGCTAATGTCAAGTTATAATGTCAGAGCAAAGCCGGCTAGGTCAGGAAGCTGGTCGAGCAGTTGTGGAAGAGCTTATCGATTTTTTCTTCAGTAACTTCCGATCACATTGAGCTAGCGAATCGAGAACATGTCACCATTGATCCGGGATTCTAAAATTGCATTTCGCTGTTTTTTTTTCGTGGATCATACGTCAAAACCAGATACCATGCAATGACCAGAGAAGTTCACATTACTTTATCAGGAGGATAGGTCCATTTTTCACTACGTACCAAACTTCATGATAAAGGATGCGTTATTGGACGTCTCGCTATTATCTTTAAGCATTTGAAGGGCATAGAATCGTCAGGAGGCGATAAACGTCAGGCCAAAAGGTCGTATTCTGTCGGTCTGACTGTCTTGTCTGTCTGTCCCTCCCTCTCATCCTTCCTCTCTCTCTCTCTCTCTCTCTCTCTCTCTCTCTCTCTCTCTCTCTCTCTCTCTCTCTCTCTCTCTCTCTCTCTCTCTCTCTCTCTCTCTCTCTCTCGCTCTCTCTCTCTCTCTCTCTCTCTCTCTCTCTCTCTCCCTCCCTCCCTCCCTACCTCCCCCTCTCTCTCTCTCCGTTTCTCTCTGTTCCTCGTTCATTCACTGTAAAAAAATGTCACGAGCCAATTCTATGACAAGGGGTGGGTTACACGGTCGTCCATTGTACCTTGCTGTTATATATAGGGACATTATCAGCCTGAGGGTTGTTAGTTAAAGAGTGGCCTCGTGAAACAATTGGTTACAAACGGTAACCTAATAACTTAAATGCTTCCCTAACACCCCTTCCTGCTTATCAACAGATTTCTCGCTGTGTCGGAAAACTACGCATAGTCTCATAATTAAATCCGCCAGAAGCTTGTTGCATGCTAG